GAATACTACAGTGCCTTAATCTTACGAAAAATACAGACGGTATACATTATCAGCCTGGAAGGGCTGAAGAGAAGTCCTTCATCTTTGAGCCTCAGGCACTGTATTCAGTAGACAGCTTCTGGCTTTTAGTGCAGCATGTGATTAACACCAATCTCTGCGATGCTGAACGAAGGTTTTGAAGTCACTAGAGATTACAAGTTCCTTATTTTGAGGAAACTATTTAACTTGACACACCTTTAAAATTGTCCCACTGGGCTGAATATCTCATCCTTCAAAAATAAAGACCTGATAGGTTTCAAGTTAGGTAGCATTCCTGATTCTTTTGAAAGTATTGGTGCTACTAGAGAGAAGATGCAGATGTTCCTGACTGGACCATCCTGCTTCACCAGTATTTTCACCTCTGCTTCAGTTAAAAGAAAACCCCTAAAACAACAAAACCCAAAACCTATCAAACACTAAGAAATCAGACAAAAATCTGTGATGAAAGTTAAGAGCTCTATCCTGCTACTTTGTTATCTCAGGTACCTGGAACAAAGAGCATCTTAACATTTTATAATGAACTACAATTTACATTAGTTGAAGACAGGATGAGCTCGAGGAAAAAGGTTTCTGCTCATGAAAAGGATGCAGAATTACCCACATGAAGCACAGTATCACACTTTGAAGATTACTTCAAAGTTTGTGATAAAGTAAGCAATAATCCCCAAATTTATTCTAAAATTCAGTCAAGAAGACTATATATTAAAGTATAATTACTCCTGCACTTTTAAACCGCATGCAAATTTTACCCTGAGAGCTATTCATAAAGAAAAACAGAATTTCCCACAGTGCCAAGGGCAGACCTTACAGTATACATTATATTCCTTTAAAAAAAAAAAAGAAAAAAAGACATCACAAAACTAGTAGCTAACTATTTTTAGAGTAGGGAAACAGGAATGCTTCCCCCCTCTCTAATGCAATACAAGTAAAAGCTACTATGTACTACTTTAAAGTTAAATACTTAGTCCAAATTCCTAATCAGAAGATATTTTACTGTGTCCTAAATATTCTTTTGTGTGGTCCTTTTAAACCTGAGTAAATGAATCCCATTTGAGCCAAGACCACACAGTGCCATCATTTGCTTAAAGCAACAATAAAATTCACTGTGTGGAGTAAAAGCACAAACTAATCACCAATCTCATACATAAATACCTACTAAATAGATTCTCAACTTAGCATATCAATGCAGTAATACTACTTTTGGACTGACAGATTCTCTGCTATAGGTTTGTAAAAGGGAGGTCCTGCATGTTTTGCCCCAGAAAGTGGCTCATGTGCTTTCTATTTAACTTACATGAGGCGTAAGCATCCTTATCTTTTGGAAAGATCAGACAGCATATAGCAGCTACTCGACATCTCCTACCCTCCAAAACAACATATTATGCATGTAGAAGCCACACAGCCTCAAAATTCAAGCACATTTCCTTGCAGATGCATTAAACCTATGTTTTAGAACAAGAACTAACCTCCTCAAATCACAGGATTTACCTTAAGTATATCTCACACACTTCAAATTCTTAAGTATTTTCAATACTGTGGTCATGTTGTTAAGCCCTCAGCAGATCTCTGTGGGCATCAAACAACTTCTCAGTTCCTAAAACATTCTTTACCAAGGAAATTTACTTCTCATTTTGAGTTCTACTATCTCTGAAGAGCACAGATGGCTCCAGCCTTTAGCCTGTACTTCACTGTATGTCGTACCTTTCCAAAGAGGAGGGAAAGCTGAAAGCAGCAATTAGGTTTTCACACTCTCAACAGATAGCTGAAACATTACTATTGGAACTCAAAACACAAAGAGAAAACTCAGCAGCTTTCAAGTCATTATGTCTTAACAGTTCGTACTTTGGATGTACATTAAAACTGAAAGAACTAAACCTGGGGCACATCAAGAAAACAGAATGCCTTCAATAAAACTGAACAGCCAAATTAATGGTGTCAAGAGTTAAACAAATTACAGGTATTGATTCAACACATGCTCTCATGTCTGGCCTTCCAGGCAGAGATTGCCAGGGAGCTGGTTACACTGTCTTCTTAGCAGAAAGGAAAAATTGACTTATTTTGAGTCTCCTCAATATATTTCAATTATCTCTGACTTCATGAATACTACAAATGAAGACAACCTTTCAGTTCAAACACAGACACAATGAGAACATTACTATCCTTACTAATACCAGCCATATGGCACAATCTTGCTGATCTGGAAACTCAGCTTTAGACAGGACCAAGCGACTGATGCACTAACTGCATCAGTTGCATTTACAACCACTACAGTTTCAGCCTGTCATCAAGTAGAACTAAACAGAAAATTTCCTGTGAAACAGAACTGGATTCATTGACCTAGGTTCAAAAAACACCCAGAGCTGCTCTTTAATAACGACAGTGGTAAAGTACCTTGATCCTATGCCTCAAGCTAACAAAACGTTAGCTCCAGTGAGGTAAAAAAAGACAGCAAGAACTGAAGTGTATGAACACATGGTATTTCACTCAACACAAGAGGCAACTGCAGCTCCCTCATGTCCGAACAGGTGACACTTTTAAACTCTACAGTTATATTCAGAGAGTGTTTTGTTTGTGGGTTTGGGGTGGGTGTTTTGTTTGGTTGGTTGTTGGTTTGGGGTTTTTTAGCGGGGTTTATGTGAAGTATCATTAAGAAACATATTTCCTACTTGGTGCCAGGAAGGAGATTGCAAGTTTTTTAGATTTCAGTTTATACAACAGACATGGTTGGACAAGAGCCTGAAAATAACCAGTCATAATGCTGGGTTTACCTTTGTTGAAAGGTATCCAAAATTTATTCAGCATCATGATGAGACTACTCTAAGAAATTAAATCATACTAGCATAAGGAATGCGAAGAGAAAAAGCCTTGAAATCTACAGCACATTTCATTTATGTAATACTCCTCCTAAAAAAGATCTCAACTTGACTTGCATTAGTGCAGTAAAAAAAGTCTGTAATCACAAGGCAGTTTAGACACAGATACATGTTATAATCCAAAATACCTTAGATTTTCATTGAAGATTCACCTGATGTAGTGATGCAAAGTTAACCATGGGTGAGTAACTGCTAGGCTCTCCCATGGCAGCTCAGGTACCACAAGCAGGGCAACCAAGATCAGTCAGTATGAAATTCACGGCGTGCACCCACTGCAATCAGGCTGCAGAGCAATGCAGACCCCAGCAGGGGAACAGCCAGCCCTGGCCAACAGGGAGCCACGTGGTCAAGAGTCAACCTACTGTGTCTCAGGAGTTTAGACAAACCTGTCAGAGAGGCAACACTACGACAGTTGATGTAGAAGCTGAAGGAATAATGGCTAGAGACCTACAGCACACTCTAGGAGTGCTTACCAGGCAAATACAAACTCTCACTGATGCAAGCCTCTTGCACCACTTACATTTGCCATTTCTGAACTGCCTGAAGATGTACGCAGCATATGCACATCAAAACACTCCTCCCCTGCCTCCCCCATACCTGGCAGCAAAATTTATTTTTGGTTATTATTTCATAAACTTTAGAGTTTTACTATCCAACATCATCTACATTCAGTCAATAGATTAATGCTGTCCAAAAAGGAAGAAATTAATTTCCTATTCCTGCAATTGATTCCAACTTGGAGTAATTAACGTAACTTATTTCAGGACGGTGTTAAGTTGCAACTAGTATGAACCAGAATTTTATGTGTAAGAAGTCTGTTCAATCACCTTAGTAAGTCTTCGCTAATTTTCAGACAGACAACTGTAAACATTTCCAAAGATAAATAAGACAGAAATGCAAACCAAACTATGCAGTTTCCAGGAGGTTGTCTCCAGCCAGCAATAAGCAAGCCCAGCATTACAGAACTCACATATTATGGGTACAAAGATCAAAAAAGAACACTCCCAACTGTGGAAAAGAAACATCTCCCCTTTCAAATTAACAATCCTTTAAATGGACAACACTGTTTCACAAATTAATTCTATAATGTAGTATAAAATAAGATGACAACTCCTGTCTTCCATGCTAGTTTTCTGAATCTTCTGAGTTCAAAATTTTAAACTGAGTATCAATTAGCTGCTGCTGCATGGCAATTGGCACACTTCAGTATTTTGACTGTCCTTTCCTACAGGATGCCCATTTCAGTGTAGGTAGGCACCAGACACCTAACCTCACAAATAACTGTTCATCCTGTGTGGTCAGGAAAAACTTTGTGGACATGAAGTGTCAAGTTATTGCCCTGTTAGGAATTGTTTACACCTTTTGCCAGAGGTGTTTCAGCTGTGTGCACACTCACTTGAACACAGAGGTGACTGCAAATGCTCAGCACTCAGGACATCTTATACAAAACTGCTCTGGATGTAACCTCAGCTATTAACCTAAC